TTTTTTTTTAATTATTACAAAAGTTTATTTTTACATCATTTTGCACATTTTTTTTCCATCTCGATTGTAATCCCCGCGGGTTTCCCATCACCAAATCACCCGTGTGCCACCACCATGGTCCCGTGCATTTCCCTCACACTGCTTTATTTTTTAATTACATTTTTATCCCTACTTGATAAGCACCTGAAAATGAAGAAATAAATTCAAATAAACACAAAACAAAGAAATGAAAACAAGCACAAGCCTGACCACATTTGAATCTGGTCATGCACACTGGACACAGGTGACTGAGAGGAGGAAGGTGGGGAATGACCAGCCTGAGGTCCCGCGGGAGGGGGACCCCGGTGTCTCCAGACCTGACCACGGTCCCTGAAGGACAGACGGCGCCAGGGGCTGCTCTTCCGGTTCTGTCCTCACCTCCGATGGAAGCTGCCACTGGACCACGTGCAGAGACCGGGCCCCACTGAGCAGGTGACGCTTCGGTCACATAGGGGTGCTGATTGTCACCTCCCTTCATGGCCCTCTCGGGAAGCACGTTTATCAGACCCCTTTTCTCTCTCTGTCTCCTTCGATCTGTCCAATAGGGGTCCTCACTGAGCTCTGTCAGAGAGAGGGGTCACTGCTGTCCATCACGCCTGCAGTTCTGGAGAGTCGCCTGCAGGGGCGCTGCGGAGGCCAGAGCTGCATCCCTGAGCCTTTTAGCAAGGTCTGTGGATCAAGTGATCAGACTTCAGTCACTGGATAATGCGCTCTGGTTCCCCGGAGCAACAGAGAATTCCCACTTCCAGTATTTGTTTTCCTGACCACACACCTGTGTGTGGACTACACACCTGTAGTCCATTAAAATATTGAAATGTAAATTAAAATTCTAATTCCCTGTATTGAAACTATTCCTAAAAAAAGAGAGAAAAACTGGCAAAAGCCATACCTGATATACAAAATGCTCCTAAAAATCAGTAAGAGAACAGAGAACCCACTAAACATGGACCATGTCCCTAAGAGTCAAGTCACAAAAGCAGTTACACAGCTCACAAGCCAGCATATGAATAGATGCCCACGTCACGTGTCATCAGGAAATGAATATTAAAACAGCAATAAAATGCCACTGTGCCCCTACTGGGGGGCCTGATACTAGAGCACAGCTCCACTCTGTGCTGGCATCGGATGACAGGAGCGCTCCCATTCCTAGCTGTGGGGGTGCACAGACACTTCGACCACAGGTATTAGCTTCTTTTGAGATGAAACCTCCTCTATCCAGTGATCCAGCAAGCGGGCTCCTGGGCATTTCCCCCAAACAGTGAAACTGGTGTCCCCATAAAACCTGCTCACAGTGTTTACAATGCTTTACTTATAAATGCCAGAGCTTGAAAGCATCCAGGTGTCCCTCAGTGGGTGGCAAATGTATAAATTAACTATAGTTCATCCAGAAAATGGGACACTACTCAACACAAAAAAAGAAATAAGTTTATAAGCTATGAAAGAACATAGAAGCAACTTCATTCTAAGAGAAGCAGCCTCCTGGAAAAGGCCACACACCACGTGATTCCATCTGATGGACATTCATGGGAAGGGAGCGCTGTGCACTCTGGGGACAGGAATGACATCAGTGGCATCGGGGGCTGTGGGAGGGTTCACAGATGAGACAAGGAGGGATTTGAGGGCAGTGAAGCTGCTCTGTGGACTCTGTCATGGTGGATGCTATCATGGTGGACGCTGTCATGGTGGACACTGTCATGGTGGACACTGTCATGGTGGACGCTGTCGTGGTGGACGCTGTCGTGGTGGATACTGTCATGGTGGGCACATGCCCTCGCCAATTCTAAATCCTTGTCGTGCTTGGTGCAGCCCAAGTGTGTGTCCACTTGTAACTGTGGGTTTAGTTCTTTAGTTACAAGGTCTATACCTCAATGATGGGGGAGAGTGAGAGCAGAAAAGGGAGATGATGTTTGTGTGGGAGGAAAGTGTTCTGGGAAAACTCCATCAATATGCTGAATTTTCTGGAAATATAAATCTTCTCTAAAATAGACATAGATGTAGGTATAGATTTATTAAAGAAATTCTAGCTTGAATGATCTAGAGTGGCTCCTTCCTACTTATGAATTTGACAAATGTCATAACCAAGACAACACAGGCATAATCACCAATGTCTGTATGAAACCAACAGAGACCTTGTTGTGTCTGTGCTGCTGGGGCTGAAGAAAGAAAAGAGAGTTAGGGGTCAAGGAGCCTCCCTACCCCTTGTACCAGATCTTCTAGTCCTTCAAAGGTTGACTGCATCTGAGATGTGCTCTCAGCAGCTGGGGCACCAGGAGGAGCAGCTGGGGCTGCCCAGCCTCACACAGCTGCTCCCCGGATGGTTAATGGTCAGGCCTGTGTCACTGTGACAGGCCAGATATAATTATGCTGACATTAATAGGTGGAAGCATCTTCAGGCTCCAGACTGTTGATGCTGAGAGTGAAATCTGTCCCAGACCCGTTGCCACTGATGGTGATGGGACCCCAGGTTGCAAACTGGATGCACCATAGATCAGAAACTTCAGAGCTTTCCCAGGCTAAAGCATTGTTAACACTCTGGCTGGCCCAGCAGGAGATGGTGACTCTGTCTCCCGGCAATGCAGACACGGAGGGTGGAGACTGGGTCAACTGTATATCACCCTTTGTCTCTGTATGGGAAACAGAAAACACACCCACTGTTCACCCTGTCACCAGAGGACTTCCTTGAGGCCAGGGGTCCTGACCCGGGGCTGGTCACCTCCTGAGTTTCCTTCCTCATCTGGGAGCCAGAGCAGCAGGAGGCTGAGGAGCTGAGCAGGGGCCCTCATGTCCAAGCTGGGTCCTGCCTGACTGACTCTCAGGGGCTGGGGCAGAGTATGAGGAGGTGAGGGAGGGGCTGTGCTCTGGTACATGCAAATGAGCAGGGCGGGGCCGAGGGGCAGCAGCAGGGCTGATCTCAGTCACACTGCCCCAGTGACCAGGTCTCCACTGGGCAGCACACATTAGCCTACAGAGAAGGTGTTTCTGCCTGCGGGATGCAGGCTAGAATCAGTGCACTTCTCTGTGTGTGGTGCCTTTTGGTCTCCTCAATACTTACAATAAGCTTTTCGCTCTGTTCTCCATGTAATCCTATCAGGTGTGCCACTCAAAGAAACCGCACAGGCTGTCCCTCCCCAGTGGGGCAGCGGGTTGGAGCGCAACACTGAAACTGGCTGCAGCCCCTTCAGTGTGAGTTCGATCCCTGCCCCGGAGGTGACCCACATGGCACAGCAGACCTCTCCTGACCTGCCTGCTGCTCCCCACTCCGTCTCTGGTGAATCCTCTCACCGGCCCTGCACCTCTAGCCTGTACCCCAGTTCTATATGCATAAATAAATAAATATTTAAAAAAAAGAAACTGCACAGGCTGCTTTGATTCATTATGTGCATATTATTGAGGCAGAGGGGTTTCCTCTTGATTCTGATTCTGTATTGCTGGTATGAGAAATTATCATCACTGCCAACCAGATGCGGTGGGGTCGTTGGACAATGCAGAGTGGATCAGGAGTTGTAAGCAACAGCCCAGGCACCAAGCAATCTCCCTGCTGACGTCTCCTCCACATAAGCCTCGCGCCCCCGCTTTCTGAGACCCTATCCCGCCACCACCCATCATCTAAGGTCAGGATGTTCTCCCCCCGCATCTGAAGTTCTCCTTCCCTTCCAGCGCTTGGAATCAGACTTCAAGGCAAGAATCCTGGCTTGACATCTAGGTGACATTTAACACAACTCAACACCTCTCTGTGCCTCAGGGATGGAAATGGGAATAAAATCTATGGTACCTTAGAAGAAAGTAAATATTGCAGGCATTCTTATCTGTGTGCTTTTAAATTAGTTTTTAAGACAATTATGGTACATTGGAAAACATGCCACATGCACCCCCTGTCAAGAGTGTGGTCTACTGCCCCTCATCCTAGATCTGGGCAGATGGGGTGGGGGGAGCCCTCTGTCAGTTCAGGAGGCCAGTCCCCAAGGGGCTTCCAGCTTCTATCTTCCCTCTTGAGTGTAGGGAGCTGATCTAGCCTGTTGGATGATGATGAGCAGTGCTAGGGAGCACAGCTGGTGCCCCCAGCGGGCAGCCCCCAGTTCAGAGGTGCCAACAGGTCATCCAGTGCCTTGAGGAGATGCAGGCTGGGCAATGGGCGGGGGACTTACTGGAGGGGACACTTTTCTCACTGCATGGATAAAGAAAGTGACAGGAAATTGCATATACAATTAATAAATAAATTTCTATAGTCAATTCACCTTCAAGAGCCTACACCTGGAAGTCCATTTCTCCAACCACCTCTGCTTGTATGTGATACAGAAGGAACCATCACGATCCAGCCCAAACCAGTACCCCCCACAGATAAGGGGATCAGGACAATTTGGACTATTCATCCCAGCTGATCTTAGTGCTGACAGCAGCGCATGACTGATCCCAGGAAGACAACAGAGTAACTACCTAGTCAGCCACAGGATTATAAAAAATAGGAAATTGTTGCTTTAGCTTATTACTGTGGCATGCTCTGTTATACTGCAATGCATAATGGGAATCACAAAACATAAATCCAGTAAAGCATCTGTCTAGACCACGATGATAGAATCTCCTCTACCTGTTCGTTTAGTAGGTCTGTTTTGCAGGCAGGAATCACAGACCGTGTGAATAAGGCATGTCCAACCCAGACTCTCACATCCCCCCGGGTGCCCCTGGAGGAAGCAGGTGTCTGCTCCTGTCCAGGCAGCCATAGCAGAGAGGGTGTTTATGACAGGGTCCTGTCACTGTGAGAGGCCGGCTGAAGTGCTGCTGGCAATAGTACACCCCAACATCTTCAGCTTCCACCCCATGTATGGAGAGGGAGAAGTCAGAGCCGTAGCCACTTCCCCGGAATCTGGATGGGGTCTTGGCAGCTAGCGCAGAAGCCCCAAAGATGAGCAGCCTGGGGGCCTCGTTGGGCTTCTGTTGGTACCAGGCCATGGAGGAACCCACCTCCATACTGCTTTGACAGGTGATGGAGACAAAGGCGCCATGAAATGCTGGCAGGGTCTCTGGAGACTGAGTCAGGACGATCTGCCCCCTGCAGCCTACAAGGACACATCCAGGCAACAAGACTGCGTGTTTCTGAGAAGAATCTTATCATGCATCAATATGACAGGAATTAAGAGACCCCGGGCCTTGCCACTTTGCTGTGACCAAGAACCCAGGGAGAATGCATGTCAGCGTGTCCTCAGGGCCAGGGCAAGCTGTAAGCGATGATATGACATTCCGTAGTCTCTCCCTATCATTTCTTACTGCCAGTGGGCGATTTCTTATCCTGGTTTGCCTCTGAAGAGAAGGAGCATGAGGTGGGAGCAGGGACAGACAGTTTGTGGCTGCAGGGTGAGGAGCACAGATTCAAAGACCTATGTGCCTCTGCCTGAGAGTCAGCCATGGACTCTGTCCTTGGTTTCTAATCAACGTTAAGGCAAAGCAACTCTCCACGTGGCATAGTCATTCCCAAAGGCCATGGGGATGCAAGACCCCCATGTCAGGGCTACAGCGCCGTCCACAATGAGCAGTGGGAACGTGCTTACCCTGAGAGGCCATCACCAGGAGCCAGAGGAGCTGGGTCTGGGAGCCCATCTCGGTGGGTCGCTGGAATCTGCAGCTTCTGGAACAAAGCACAAGTAGTTTGGGGGCTAGGCGTGTTGTTCCTTCACAGACTGCTCTGGAATCAGGGCCCCTACCCAGAGGTTAAATAACACACATTTCCTGGGTGTCGATTTGCATATCTGACACCTGCTCAGAGCTCACTCCTCCCACATCTGTTGAGGGCAGGGAGGTGACAGAGCGCCTCCAGTCCCACAGGAGCTGAGGCTGCCTTGAGAAGGACAGTGAAGCTGCCCTGAGCACAGGTCTCCTGAGCCGAGGCTGAGGGCCCTGGACCCAGCCAGGTCCCTGCACAGTGATATACAAGGTCTACTTGCTTATAGCTCTACACAGATACTGAGTTCACCATTGATGAGAGCTCAAACCTGCCGACATGCCAGGAGAGCCAGGTCAACCTGAATTTGTCACAGGGTGCAGACACCAGAGTCTAAACCCCAAGAAAGACTGCTCAATTTAATTAAGTTGCGACTGAAGGAAATAGTCCCTTTGAGAATTCAGAAGCTCGCAGAGAGTACATGGGCACACGGAGCTGACCCACAGGGAGCAGGATGCCCTGCCCACATCTGGGGAGAGGGAGCAGAGTTCCGCTGCCTTCAGAGACCATGATCCCTGTCTTCTCCTCTCCAAGCAGGAAGCAGAAGCCACCCCAGAGCCTCAGGTGTGTCTCAGACACCCGCAGCAACGCCCAGGCCTTCCCCATCCCACCCAGAGATGCCACTCAAACAGGGGCTCCCTCTCCCCACTGTCCCCTCCTTTACTGTTTCTAAGGTCAGATCTCCTTGTTTTGTTGACTCTGGGGCTTATTTACCACCTAGTGGCAATTTTGTGATCCAGAGGCTTATCAGATTTTAGATGCTGGCTCCCAGTGACTCTCCACGGAGATGTTTCACCTGTCTTGAAACTGATACTATTACATCTATCATCAGGCCTGACACTGTCCTCAATAAACCTAGTTACCTAGTTGAGAACAAAAAACTAACAAGTGACCAGGAATTCAGAACAGGACAGTTAGGAGCCAGAGTCTGGGCTCCACGTTAGACAACAAAGATGTAGTGTGAGAAAGAGAGTGTGGCCAGAGAACGCTGTGGGCATGATGGGGGAGGGAGGGAGCAGAGGGTCTCTGGTCTAGAGGTGTCAGCCCAGCCTCATCCCTCCTTCCAGAACAGCTGAGAACCACAGCTGGGGCTGGGGTGGTGGTGAGGTGGGGGAGGCGCCCCCTGCTGGTGGAGTTTGTGATCGGGCTGCAACTCCCTGAGTGACCCAGAGCGGCCTTTTAGACTTTATTGACCAATATCGGTTTGCTTGTTAAACCAAGCACCATTGTTCTACATCCTTGTTCATTTGTTGACAGTCCAGCATTTCCTCCTCAGTTGTGGTCACTGTTGCTGTCCCACCGCCAAAGCACCCCAGTCCCCAACGTACTCCACTGTCCCACTCCCACATAGTGCTCTCGGGCTCCCCATCCCCACCCCACCTCTCCTGCTCATCTCAGATCCCGGACTGCGTTCAAGGCTCTCTTCAGTTTGTCTTTTCCTGACCCTTCCTTTGGCTTCTCTGTCTGAAAGCATCTCTTGAGGGTGGAACTGCCTGTGTGTCTGTTGTTGGCCACATGTAGTTACTGGGCACTGGGAATGTCCCTAAGCACATGACAGGGGAACTTTTTCCTTAAATTAATTCTCATTTAAGTTTAGGTAGCCATGGTGACCAATATTTACCATGTGAACAGTGCCGTTGTGGACAGTAGGGACCTCACCAGGCGGCTGACTATCAAGTTCAGAATCTTCCTGTGTCCACCGCACCCATGTCCACATGTGGTGAGTGTGACCAAGATGCACAAAGCACGTGGTGGGTCTTCGGTGCCTCCCTTGGTTTCTGCTGCTGCCACACAGGTGCTGGAGACCCTCTCTCTTTTAAGACACTGAGAGGGAAGCTGGAGACTGGGGACCATGATGCCATCCAGGACCTGCTGATGGAGAGAAGACACAGATGTGCCCCGCGGCTAGCAAAGTCCTGCTGGCTGAGCAGCTGGGGCTGTGGCAACTGCAGGCACTGAGCAGAGGGCCTCACTCTCAGCACCATGGGCCCCTGACCCCTGCACACAGAGGCCCCCCATTCTGTGTCAGCTGGAGCTGGAGCATAGGATCCCAAGGAGAGACCCAGGAGCCAGGACTGAAGGCAGCATCCACCCAAAGGGATCCTTCCCAGCGGCATCAGACCTCTGGGACCAAAGTCACTACCATCTATTGAAACATAGTCTGAAGCAAACCCAGGCTGGCTTCTGTGTGTGTGTGTGTGTGTGTGTGTGTGTGTGTGTGTGTGTGTGTTCCACTCTCTACCTGAATATGTAAATCCAACTAGTTGAGTGGTTCTCAACTACCATCCTGGGAATGGTCTTCAAATCACTTAATTCTGCTTCTTGATAATGTGCCTAAGAACCCAATCGTTCTCCTATTACTGCCGAGAGGCAGGGGCTAGGATGAGGAGCACTTCATGGCTTCACACATGATGTCAATATTTCTGGAATGCGTCTCCAAGCAAGGTGCCTCCCCACCCTTGTGGAGAGGTAAATGCTCCGACCACCCAGCCCAGGAAAACACCGGCATGCTCCGGATCTCTGGCAGAGATATACAAAGACCCACCGAAACAGTCACTGGGGTCAACAGGGCAGGCCAAGCATTTGCGTAGTCTTGGAGGGACAGAATCATCTAATCATCCGGGAAAGAAAACTTGAGGGCGTTCAGCACCAAAGCCAAAGACTCTCCCAGGGTATCCCCTGACTGGGGGGCCAGGGCAACAGCCCCACCTGCTTCACCCCCTCCTGCTCCTCTCCTACCCACCAGCACGTGACCAGGCTCAGACATACTGATCTTAGGGAGACACCTGATGGAGTGAGCTAGAGAAAGTCATTTTCCTTTCTTCGAACCCCACCTTTCGCTCTGCCCCAACAAGAAGAGAAGAGGAGGAATAAGAAAAGTGAGAGATAGTGGAGCCCAGGAGACAAAAGTTGCTGAAGGGGCGGATCCACCGGGCTTGTAGACTCATTTCCCTCATGGTCAGCATAAGATGGGCTTTTCTCATGCCGTCTGGAAAGTCAGGCAACTCCTGAGGCAGGCTGGGGCTATTAACAACCTGAGTCTGTGTTTCTCCAAAATTAGCCTCTACCCTGCTGCTGTTTCCTGAGGCAGGGGAATTGTACGTCCTCTGAAGAGCCCTAATTCTTGATGAAAGTAGACTTCACAAAGGGTCAGATGGTTGGGGTAGGACCCTGGTCCAGCTGTCTTGTCAGAAGTTGCATGAGTTTTGCAGAGTTTAAAGGTCTGAGAAGATATGCCCTCCCTGGTGGCTCAACGGGCTAAATAAAGTGCAGCACCACGAAGCTAGGAGCTGCAGCGGCTTCACCTGGGAGGTGCCCCCCATGGCACAGCAGATGTCTCCCATCTCTCCTGCTGCTCCCCTCAGCAGTGAACTTTGTGGACCTGCCTGTTCTGCTCTTCCCATGTCTCTGGTGAATTCTCTCACTGCCCCTGAACCCCAGTTCTGTATGCATAAATAAATAAATCTTTTTTTTAAAGGTATCAGGGCTCTCCCTGGTGGCACAACAGGTTAAAGCACTACCTTATGAAGCTCTCTGAAGCCACTGTAGCACGAGTTCGACCCCCGGTCAGGGAGGTGACCCACATGGCATGGCAGACCTCTCCTGACCCGCCCGCTGCTCCCCTCAGCAGTGTACTTCGTCGATCTGCCTGTTCTGCTCCCCACTCTGTCTCTGGTGAATCCTCTCACTGTCCCTGCGCCTCTGGTGTACCCCAGTTCTATAAGCATAAATAAATTAAAAAAAAAGTATCAGAAGGTACTCATTTTGTGGGTCTCATTTTGTGAGACCCTCAACTACTCCTTCTCTCCAACTCCTCCCTCCACCCCCCAAGAAGCCACTGGGTGAGAACCAGGCAGCAGTGTCCCTGTGAAGGCTTTCTCATGAACTGGTGGTTGGGGAGGGTGGTGCTCCAGTCATTCTCTGTGGAGATGCTGTGGTAACATTAGTTCTCAGATTGTGGGTGTAGTGGACCCAGTAAAATGTCAGGAGAAGAAATCGGTATGGTTATTGGGGGGTGTGATGTAGCTAGGGGAACTACATGCTGTACATTTGTGTACAGCACCTTATTTATTGAAGCAAGAAAGGATTCCTAACAGCCACACTCCTTGCTCTACACACACACACACACACACACACATGCACACTCAAACCAGGTACAAGGAGGGTGTTGAAAGGGTCACAAACTGTCTTCATGAGATGGAGTTCTAGTGTAAGCTTAGTTCTTAACATCCGGGGAGCCTTAGTCGAGTCACTTCCTTTTAAATAAACTAGTTTTCACCTTTACAAATGGGAAAAATGAACTATGTGCATACCAAAGTTGCTCCCAATTCACTTCATGAGTCTCTAACTATAAATTACACAATGTTCCTTAAGGCTTGTCACTGGAAAAGCTGCATTTGCCCATCTTGACCACTAGAGGGAGACACACGGTCATTACTAACTGGATCTTCCATTTATTTATTTTTCTGTTTTGTCTCTAGATGGTAGTCTTACCTTGCGCGTAAAACTGACTACGTTAAAGCAAGGGAAAATAATTATTGGATTTTCCTACTTTCTTATCATCAGTGATTATAGAGAAAGTCATCTTTCTGATTTTATAATGATTTAGTAACCTTTAAATCGTGTATTGGCTATTTGTGACTGCAGCATTCCTTAATTTTTTTACACATGGTCATTTGAAAATGACTAGAAATCTACATATTCTGTTCATCTCATTATTCCCATTAGGGAAAATTAGTTAATAATTAAGAATTTTAAAATATTTGCATTTTAATGGGGAAAGCATTATTTGAAAGTGACAAGCCTTAAGGAACATTGTGTAATTTATAGTTAGAGACTCATGAAGTGAATTGGGAGCAACTTTGGTATGCACATAGTT